TATAAATACTAAAATAAACTACTACTTGCACTACTATTCCTACTTTGCAGTTTTTCACTTATCGTGTGGCTTCAGGGTACAGATCCCCATGATAAACAAGGAACTACTGAATACCCTGGCTTGCCACAAACAGGAAAAGAATAAAGTGACTAATGCAGAAAGACAGGTTATTTATGAAATGGATGAATGGGCAGAAGAGAAACACCATCCAGTCCAACAGAAGGACATTTACCTGTCACTGCCATTCCAGCAGCACTCAAACTTGTCAAAGATGCAGTCGTTTTCATACAAAGAGCAGAGTTTACTGCGAAGATATTCATGGACCTGAAACAAAACAAAGCCAGGATCAAATCACTAGCCTTAAAACATCTTGAAACATGAAGACTTTACTGGGATTTATTTTCCTGACAAAAACGGAGCCAGCGTCAGTTTACGCACCTGATACGTCTCCACTGGTCTGTTCTCCATGTTGAGGTCCCAAACTTTGACTGAGAGGTAGTCACGCGTCATCATATAGCGTCCACTGTGACTGAACTTCACGTCTGAGATGGAGGAGATGATCTCTGAGAAGAAGGATCGGCTGCTCGGATCCTCAGGTTCTTCAAAGACTGAAAACATAAAGGGGGGGTCCTAAAGTTATTTACAGGTACTGGATAGTAATAATAACTTTTTTATTTATAAGGCACTATACATTCACAATGAATCTCAAAGTGCTACAAAGAGTGAACATCAGATAACATCAGGATAAAAGCAACAATAAAAGCAACCGAGAGGAGGAACAACCAGGAGGATAACGCCTCAGAATGAACACATCAAAAACTTAAAATGCACAAAATGCTGATAAAATACTCAAATAAGAACTATGGGTGAATAAGAAACAAAAGTACAGTGCAATCAATTTAAAAAACTGGGTAAAAAGAAAGGTTTTAAGACACTTTTTAAAACCTGTCACGGTCTGTGGAGCCCTCAGATATGAAGGCAGGGCATTCCACAGCCGAGGGGCAGCGCAGGAGAAAGCCCGGTCTCCTGTTGTGCGGGACCGAGACCTGGGAGTGAGAAGAAGATGGGTGTTGGGAGAGTGTGTGAAGGACAATGAGGGGTGCTTTTAAATAAGATGGTGCATTACCATACAAGCGTTGGAAGGTGAGCAGATACATTTTGTAAGTGATCCAGGCAGAAACAGGAAGTCAGTGAAGTGAACGGAGTACAGGGGTGATGTGCTCATGCTTACGCACTCTCATCAGGACCCTGGCAGCGCTGTTCTGGACATACTGTAGTTTCTGTATGTTCTTGCCAGGAACCCCAATGAGAAGTGCATTGCAGTAGTCCAGTCTGGAGGAGACAAAGGGACGAGCTATTCTGCATCGGTGAAGGACAGTGTAGACCAAAGCTTTGCAATATTTCAAAGTTGAAAAAAAGAAGTTTTACAGATATGCTTTATATGGCTTTCAAAGGTGAGTTGTGGATCAAAAATAACACCAAGATTGGTGACTGTATTGGAAAGAGAAATGTTCTGGCCAGAGAAAGAGATACTGAGGACTTTTTGTTGTTGAATTTGGTGTGAAGTACCAATTTGAATTGCTTCCGTTTTTGAACTGTTAAGGTGAAGGAAATTTTGCTGCATCCATGCCTTTATCTCCTCCAGACAAGCTGTGAGCGTGGAAAGAGAAGAAAGTGGAGAAAATGGAGAAGCTGAAGATGATGTAGATGGGGTCTCAGATTGCTATCCAGCTTAAGATACAGCTGAGTATCATCAGCATAGCAATGGAATGAGACCCCGTAGCTGCTGATAATACACCCAAGTGGTACCATGTACAAGTTGAAAAGAAGGGGTCCCAGGACTGATCCTTGGGGCACACCACAAGAAACAGGATGGCTCAATGACTTGGCACGCCCAATGGAGACAAACTCTGTTTTGTCCATCAGGTATGATCGGAACCACTCTAGGGCAGTGCCAGTGAGCCCTGCAAAATGCTGTAAACGGTGGAGTAGGATGTAATGATCCACCGTGTCAAAGGCTGCCGAAAGATCAAGAAGAATAAGAAGAGAAGAGGAACCATGGTCAGCAGTGATCAACAGGTCATTTGTGACCCGGATCAGAGCTGTTTCAGTGCTATGAGCAGTACAGAAACCTGATTGAAATTTGTCCATTATCTTATCGTCATGTAGATGTTCTTGTAGATGAACTGAGACTAATTTCTCCATAACTTTAGCGATGAAGGGAAGGTTGGAAATGGGTCTGTAATTTGCCAGGTCATGAGGATCAAGGGTAGGTTTTTTTTGAGAAGTGGTTTAATTGTGGCTGATTTCAGGGCAGGGGGAATATGACCAGATTGAAGGGATTAATTAACTATGGTGGTAATAAGAGGACTGAGAAAGGAAATATTAGCCTTGACTAGGGCTGTTGGGAAGGGATCAAGAGCACATGTGGAGGGTTTCATAGCCATGACAGTGGCTTCAACTTCCTTCACACAGACCTCTGGGAAAGAACAGAAGGGGGAGGGTTCCCAGGCTGTACATTTGCAGCTGGAGAGAGGGCAGGGGGTGAAATGGTGATGGCTGATTGGATTTTTTTGGATCTTGTTTTGGAAAAAGGAGATAAAGTTATTACAAAGATCATTAGTGGAGTCATTGAGTGATGTTGTTCGTGGTTGAAGGAGGTGAGTGATGGTTGAAAAAAAGTATTTTGGAGTTACCAGGGTTATTGCAGATTATAGATGAGTAAAATAAAGAATGAGAGTATTTGAGGGACCTAGCATACATCTTACAATGCTCCATATAAGCTAGCTGTGAACTAGCAGACCAGAAGCCAAGAAGCGTCTCTCTAGCACTCGACTAGCTGCCTTCATTTTCCTCAGCTCTGGGGTAAACCAGGGAGCTGAGCATGAAAAGGCAACTGTCCTCTCTCTGACAGGAGCATGGTGGTCTAAGATGCTGGAGAGGCTGATGTTGTTGAAGTCCACCGCATTGAGGGAAGCTGTAAGGGAGCAAGGAATGAGGACCTTAAGATCAGCTGCTAGAAGTTCAGAGTTAATGTTTTTCAGATTTCTAAAAGAAATCTGTCGCTTTGGTTTGATGGTACTGTCCAGGAAAAGAAGCTCCATATAGATGACTTTGTGATCGGACACACCCATGTCATATGCAGAGAGATGATGCACAGTTAGAGAGTTTGTGATGATTAAGTCTAGGGTGTGACCACGAGAATGTGTTGGAAGCTTGACATATTGTTCTAAGTCCATACAGTCCAAAAGTTGAAGGAATTCAGCAGCTAGATGATTAGTAGGTGTATCAACATGAATGTTGAGATCCCCGAGTACGAGTATATTAGCAGTTGTGGAACAGAACATTGACAGAGTCTCTGATATCTCAGCAAAAAAGGAAGGATGACATTTAGGGGGCCTATAAATGAAGAACACTTTCATGGAGTTTGGTGGTTTGAAGGAAAAAGCCAAACACTCAAAGGAGGACAATTCAGACAGAGTCACAGATGAAAGGTCCAAATTATCTTTAAAAATGACGGCTAGACCACCGTCACGACCAGAACTCCGTGCTCTCTGGCGATATTTATATCCAGCAGGACATGCCTCATTGAGAGCAGAGAAAATGTTTGGCTGATGCCAAGTCTCTGTAAGGAACATAATATCCAAATCCTTATCCAGAATGTGCTCCTGGATAAGGCATGCTTTATTAGTCAAGGACTGCACATTGAAAAGCTCGATTTTAAGATAAGGCGCAGCCATGTATTTTTTAATTGGCATGAGAAGATGAAAATCCACTCCACGTTTTCCGTCCTGCGTCCTGTCGGGCGCAGGAACTGCTGTAGTCACGTCAGGACTACAAATCCCAAGAGCCGCAGTGTTCTGATGACACCGGAATGCTCAGCTGACCAAATGACCGGTATGGAGGACCGAGTCCGAATAAAAATATGCTTTCTCCGGGAGCTTCTGTGGGCATAAGGAAAACGTCGAAAAAGACCAAGCTTTTTGATGATGGAAACGTCCCGAAGATCCACATGGACATCGCAGTTATTAAGGCTCAACAGCTCCCCAGCAGAGTAGCTTAGCATCATGCTAGCTGAGGAGGGAGACACGGCATCATACAGTAGCACGAATACAAAATAGCAGTTTCCCTAACAACAAAAAAAAACATCATCCGAAGCCGCAAGCTGTCCACAACAGTGAAGTCGGGGAAAAATAAAAATACTTTAAAATGTTATCATCCAGACGGAGAAGCGGAGAACAAAAAACGCCAGCGTCCTCTCCACAGGTGAGACTCTTTATGATAATAGTAAATGAAGTTAAACTGCTGATTGTTAATGGGAATAATTGAATATTGTAGTGAAGCGTGGCGAACGACAGTACTTACACTTTGAGTGCCTATCGCAGAGTGCCGCTGCTCGCATGTCACACAGGCGAATGGTGCCTTTGCTACTGCTGTACACAAATACATTGCATTGGTGTGGGTGGCACTCAGCAGCTGTGATTACTTCCGTCAGTTCCTCCATGTTGGCGGGCTTGATGTCTACAATATCTGGGAGCACACTGTTAAGGAACTGGACATTTTCACGTTTTAGTAAAATACAAAAGCATGAACGCTAATCCACACGTTCAATATCTGCTTTCTGACCTGGAAAAGGATACTAAAACTTCTGTCTGTGATTTCCAAGTGCCATAGATTTATTCTTAGGTCATCTGCAGAGAGGTAAGTTTCATGGTCACTATTTACAGAAATGGAATTAATGTGATAGGTGTGCGCATTTGCAAAGATCCTCCGTGGGCTTGCTTCTACCATGAGATCCATTGGCATCAGTACTGGTACCTGAAACGAGACGAAACGCAAGCTTTTACAGTTTTTGCAACTTTTATAACTCTCCATCATGTCCAATAATCAGCCAGATCTCAACTGTGGCTTCACATACCCGTAAAGAGGTGATTCTAAAAGGATCTCGGAGTCGCCCATCTTCGTCTTTCAGGTTGTAACCATCTGCTCGTTTATCTCTTTCACTTATTTTCCACAATTTGATAGTTTTATCTGACAAGATACAACGTTAAAAGGTAAACATACGTTGCCAATTTCAGCTTTGCATGTTAACAACAAACAAAAACTCTTACCGTTTGTTGAAAGTAGAAAGTGAGCAGCATTTTGTTGGGGTAGCCATCTTATTTTATTAATTTTTTCCTCGATTTCTAAACTTTTCAAATAGTCAAATTCTGGCTCGTGACTCTGAAAAGTGCTATAGACGTTATATTCTCCACGCAGGTGTGGGCGATTCTTAGACTGAAACGAGCAATAAATAACATGAGTCACCAAGTGGAAACATTTTGATACAACACAGGAGAACGCACTTGGATCTGTTGGTCGACTCTTACCTCCTGTTCATGCTGAAATATCACTACTCGTCCTCCTTTGTCTCCAGTTGCAAGTAATTCTCCAGAATAGTTGAACTCAACAGTTGAGATTATGTCCGCTGGAAAAAGACAACACAATGAATTGTAAATGAACATGGCGTGACAGTTTAACGACGGCAGACTAAGAAAAATGCATTATTAATTAGCCAAATCGTAATACCTGGAACATGTATTATATATTCAACAATGCCAATTTGACTAGCACCATCCTCTGTGATTGGTAATTTTTTATAACTAGAACATTTTTCACTTTAAACTCATAAAAATACATAGCTTCAGATATTGCAGAGGTCAAATTGTTTTTACTGAAGCAAGTGTCTGCATGCTGGTTCATTTGAGGAGCATTTGCTAAAGCTGCAGCACTGTGGACAATATAGATGTGAAATTCTATAAAAAAGGAGCTTTTCTATATTTCCTATTGACATCTAAAGATGACTCACACTGCACTCAATGTAGTTTAGATCATACCCACAAATACATAATTTTCCACATATTTTCATCAGGTGCAGTGGCAACTTGAAGCCATACAGAACAAAACTGTTCGCACTGTTTCCTTTGAAGACAAATACAGCGATATTCTGAATAAACAAAACTCAAGTTCAAATAGCTACATTTAAATTTTTAGACATTTATTGTAAGATGTTTGAATTTGTCTAAACTTTGGCATCTGGATTTACAACTAGTAATAATTCACTGCGTGACTAATCACAAATTTGAGACAAAATGACTGGTTTTGTATAAGATTCACTTTTCCATCATTCTCTGTTCCGTTTTGTTTTCTCAATGACCCAAACAAATATTTTGTTTTTAATTTTAAGAACCGACACAATCAGAATGACTAAAACATCTATTGTGCATAATGTTTTAAATAATTTTTAAGCATGAATGGCAAAAGAAACATTATTTGCACATTGTGTGACCACATTACTGTCGCAGTAAAAGCTGCACAGCATTTATTTTACCCCTGGTGAAGACATACAGAACATTTTAACTGACCCATTTTTTTGTTGTTTTACAAACAGCAAATTAACTTTTTGGTATAACAACTTGTGGATTTTGGGGGGAAATCGCAAATAAATAGAAAAACAAATAAAATGAAATAAATGTAGAAAATCAGTTGTTTGAGTAACCACAGAATATCATGAACCAAGAATAAAAATAGTGCTACAGTGAATGTGTTCCTGCCAAAACACCACTTTATGACTGAGGAAAAGACTACATAATAAGTACGTTTTTTTTCAGCTGCTCCCTTTTTCTGGGGTAACCACAGCGAGCAAACTTGCATGAAATATTCGGCTATTTGTTTTACGCCAAATACCCTGCCTGATGCAACCTGAGCTCAAACCTGCAACCTCAGGATTACAGGATGGTTGCACTGACCACCAAGCTACCGCAGCCCCTAATGACTGCATAAGTGCCTTTAGATCATTACTGAGAGTAGAGAAAATGCATAAAAACAATAAAGCACTTTATTGTTGTATGTTAATAATTGTGATATTAAAGGGTCAATATGTAGTGAACACAGCCTGGTACATATTTAGTGTGTACCACTATTTGTATAGCTTTTAAAATGAGTACCATGACCCACAGAAACATTAACTGTTTTCCATATTAGTGGGTTGCAACCTGCTCAGCTCCCATTCCTAAATCCTCAAAAACAGATTTCACTGAATTCATTGTCTCTCAGTCCAAACAAACATTTCAGCTCATTTCACTCAGAATCTCCTTTTGTTCATTCTTACTATGATAAATGTTGTCACTTAACACTTTTTCTTAATCATTGTGCTTTTAGTGACAGCAATCCACAACTACATTCCACTGGATACCTTAAATAGTTTCTTTGAAACTCAATTAAAAGATTATCTACATATCACAAATAAAAAAACTGTTCACAAAATGGTTACACTTTACATTTTTACTATTGTTGGATGTAACTGGGTGTACACAGTTTGGTTCCACTTCATGTACCACGTGTGATGATATGACAATAAAACCTACTTGAACTTAAAATTTTTCTTAGACTATCCGAATAAAACATCAAGAATCATTAGCACTATACTCAATTAAGAGATTATCTACATATAAATGAAAAACTCTGTGATGGAGTTAAATTCAAAGCAGTCTGCTCCTCAGATATAGTGTTAAATTATTATTTTAATGTATGGATGTTTCTGTTCAGTGCCCTGGGATGACTTCTGTTGTGACTTGGCGCTGTATAAATAAACTGAACTGAATACGGCAGCACGGTGGCGCAACTGGTAGAGCTGCTGCCTCTCAGCGAGCAGGTCCCTGGTTCAAACCCCGGTCCAGGGGCCTTTCTGGGTGGAGTTTGCATGTTCTCTCTGTGCATGCGTGGGTTTTCTCCGGGTACTCCGGTTTCCTCCCACAGTCCAAAAACATGCATGTTAGGCTGACTGGTAACTCTAAATTGTCCCTAGGTGTGAGTGAGAGAGTGAATGGTTGTTTGTCTCTATGTGGCCCTGTGATGGACTTGCGACCCGTCCAGGGTGTACCCCGCCCCTCGCACAGTGATTGCTGGACATGGGCACCAGCGACCCCCGTGACCCAAAATGGAATAAGCGGGTAAAGATAATGGATGGATGAGTTGAATACTGAACTTATTTAAATGCTATTTTCGTAGTAATTTTATCCACCACTAATTGGACTAGTAACAGTGTAATAAATGTTTAAACATACATTTTGGCTATATACTGAGACATTTATGGGATGACTTTAAACATTGAATAGGTGACATTAATAAAAATAAAACTTGTGTTTAAAATAGGATGTGTATTTTTAAACATGTTAATTCAAACTAATAGTAATTACTTAATTTTGACTTGACAGAATACTACTAATGAAATCTAAACAAACAGCAACTGCAGAAAGGAACGTTGATTGTATGTTACAACGACCTGCCATACAGGTATGACTAGCAAAATTGTGGATTTGTGAAGGGAAAAAGAGGAACGGAGTTCTAGGGATTTGCAGTAGATATTCAAGCTCAACATGGTTCGCGTGACCTTGAAGGCAAATTAAGCTCAACACGTTTGAATGAAAACAAGCCATGATGTCACGCCACAATTTATGGACGTCGCAGATTGACGTCACGGCCACGGTCGCTCCCCTTTAATAGTTTAGCTGCCCCCTAGCATGCAGCTAATTTACAAAGTAAGGGCGTTCGCGCCGTTGCTCCGAGAAAAGTCCCACACCAAAACACGACGCCTGTCTTTCACAACAAAAAATTAAAAAAAACCCGCACGTCCACGCATCGTTCCCCGTGAAAACCCACAGAGCACCACCATCCCCATCACCAGGCGAATGCTAGCTGTAGCCGCCGAGCTAACGTTAGCCACATACCTTCCGCAACATCTTCATCTATCGCTCCTTTCACTTGGGAGAAACACCACTGAAAATCATTTCCTCCTGCAACTCCTGTGGAAAGAGCACAGCGTTAGCTCGGCTCGGACGTGGCCTTTTTTCAATAAGACGACCTGACTGACACAGTTTGACAACTTAGCCCCGCAGAGCTAACGTCGGCAGGCTAACTTGCAGATTCAGGCCATCACACACACCAAGAGGAGAGAAGGTGGATCCTTTCACTCTCTTCAAAAACTATCTTACCCGCCATTGCTTCATTTAGCAGCTGTTGTTGTTGTACACAGCTTCCGATGCCCAGTCAGAACAACGCGGCTTGCTTGGGGGAATCAAAAAAAAGGCATGAACAATCAGTGTGAAGACTCGGGTTCAGATCTGTCAAGACCACGGAAATTATCCGTGATTTTTTTTTTTTTTCTCTTTCCAAAATGGCGCACAGTACATGGAGAAATGACGTCATGCACACATGCCACATCCTGGCTCCCTCCATCCACCCATCCATCCTCCAATGCATCACTTTCTGTAACGCTTCAGTTTTATTCTCTAATCTTCCACGCGATTCACTTCTTTCTTTTCACTGATTTACATGTTAAAACCTGTTTTTCACGTTTTATTTTAAGGACAGCGCCGCATTTCTTCTAGGAATGACACTAATACCCCTCGCTCTGCACATATTTCATGTTTTAATTCAGATTTAATAGAATGCACTTTGAAGAAATTGTCAACAAAGCAAATAGTTTAATCCTGATGACACTGTAGTCACAAGGCAAATTGATTTCCTTTAGAGTCACTTTTATAACACTGGTTGAGTAAATAAAAATAAATCAGTTTTAATTTCCCTCAATTTAGCCTATAATAAATTTTAGATATTTAAATATTAGGAGTCAATTTTGAGGGATGTATCACTTCAAATACATAGTTTGACAGAATGGGGGGTGCCCCTAGTTCTATTTGACGGTCAAATGGTGACATCTAGTGGTAAAAGTGAAGAACAACAGCTACATGAAGGAAAATATTGTGTCAGTCAGATTTTCTTTATTGTCATTCGCACCTCATGTGATACATGTGGTGGAGCGAAAATATGTACACAGGGTCCCAGTTATATCCAACAATAAAATGTATAATAAAAACAGTAATAACATCTAAGATATGAACTAAGAAAAACATCAACTAAATATACACTAAGCACTCACAACATAAAAACATTACGTCGAACATCAGCACAAACATGAACATGAGTCTGTGTGAGCAGATGAGCACGCATGAACACATCAACATTGAAACAGACCAGCAGCAACATGAAACAGACCAGCAGCAACATGAAA